TAATGATTCCTAACACCCTGTTTGCTTTTTTGAGCGCCTCTGCACACTGCGTGGACATCTTCGGAGAACTAGCCATGATGACTCCAAGGTCTTTCTCCTGATTTGTTGTAGCTAAATTAGCCCCCATCCTATTGTATGTAGAGGTGGGGTTATTTTTTCCAATGTGCATTACTTTACATTTATCCACATTACATTTCATTTGCCATTTTGGGATGGGATCCCTGGGGTGCCACTTGGGACTGCGGGATTACTGTGCCCCCCTTGAACACTCTCTAGCCTGGGCTGTCTCTCACAGTGCCTTGCTAGTGACCTGCAGCAAACCTCTCCAGGTGCTGTTATCACTCAGCACAACCATATGTGGAGCCCCACACCTAGCTAGCTTGTATGAATGCTCCCAGAGCCCCTCATGAATCACACACAGAGAGGCACCAGGCAAATGCTCCCAGCACAGTACCCCAGGAATACACCATCTAATTTATTAATTGGTTCACCACTTCACCAAGGGAAAGTGGATAAACACCAGCCTTTGATATCTGAGCAATTTACTATTCACTTCAGCAAACTCACGGGTAAAGTTAAACAAGTTTGACTATAAAAGATTGATTTTAAGTGGTATTAAGTGATAGGCACAAAGTCAGTTAGTCACCAAAAGAAATAAAATACAAACACGCAGTCTAGACTCTCAACCCTATTAGGCTGGGCAACAACTAAACAGTTTTTCTTACCTCTCTGGGTATTGCCGTCCATAGTATACAGATTTCACCTTTGCAATCTGGGCCAGTCCCCTCAGTTGCAGCCTCAAGTCTTCAGTGTCCTTGTTGCTTGCAGTGTAGGTGGGTGAAGGAGAAAGCCCAAGCCTGTGAGTCTAATGTTCTGTTTTATACCCAGGGCTGCTGTCAAGCATATGCAGTATGCGGAGGGCACCTGAACCTTTGGGGCACCCCTGGGTCTTAGTGTCCACCCTCCTGGCTTTCCTATCCTTGTTCTGACCCTTCCTGCAGGCTCCCACCACAGTGGGATGCTGCAGCCTGGTGACTTGATCCCCTCCCGAGTAATAGTCACTTAAAAGAGAAAAAGTCTCCAGCCTGCCAGACCTATTAGCACAACACTGAAACTGTTAAAGTGCCATTCAAGGGGTAATGAAGCCATTTAACAGGCATTTGCCAATCCCCAGGTAGTACTGTCAGTTTCTGAATTTACTGACAAAAAGAGTTGTGCACAACTGTCATATTTACTCAGGACGTATAAGTCTACAGGACCTTAGTTTAAAATTTGCTTTAAAAATATTTTATTAGTGAGTTGGTGACTATTATAAAATCACATCTCTAAAAAATCCTTGCATAGATTTTTAGATGCACAATCATCTTTAGCCTTAAATGCTTGGATCTTCAGACATACAGTTTTTAAAATAAATCCTTCAAAAGACCACCCTTATCTAAAAGACACATTTTAATTTTATTTACTATAGTAAAAAAAAAACTTGCTTCCAAAGTCTTCCAGTCCTTTCTGTCCATTCCTTTCTTCCTTCAGCCCCCCCCACCTCCCG